TTTTCCCTTAGACGAGCTGGTTCTTCTACACCTGCGGAGTCTCGTCTACCCCAAATTAGGGAAATAGAGAATGAGAAGAGGAGAAGAAGGAAGATAGAAAAGAGCTGAGATGCAGTAAAAAGATGACTCAGAAATGAATATCATCCTGGTTCCCGAGACCTACTAGCATCGGGGTCGAAAACAAGGGGTCAAGAGAGGCCATATAGGAAAGATAAAAGAAGTGCAGCATAAGTAAATGGACATAATGCTACACTGGGTTGCGAACCTTTAGCGTTACCCAGGGGACACCCCGGGGAGACAGTTTATCGATTGCTCCCTATTAAATAACTTTATATTAAGTATTTTACTCCGTATATATTCACTATACGAGAAAAAAGGGGAAAATGAAGGATTGAACATATAATAGATTTTTTATAGGGCTTCAGGACCCCTTTCAAAATTTTCAGGCCTCCTCAGGCACGCGAATGGAAAAATAATATTTAAACCACGAAGACCACTCTATTTGTCTATATTGTATGCACCACTCGTATGTATTCTGTTAAAGAAATTTTTAAAATTCATCATTTATCCTGAAAACATCGGAAATTTTATAGAACATGCCTCAGGCATTTTTCTGGTACATCTGGAACTGAAGAACTTGTTTTCAACTTCGCGCGAACAACTACTACTACTAATACCTAAACAAAGTAATATTTTCTTGCAAACACAGACTTTGGGCATCTTTCTTGGGCAATAGCTTTCTCAGAGAAAAGCATTTGCGCAATTAAAAGAGATCGTAGGTTCGCAAGGGCGTTTACAAGGCTCTTAGAATTAAAACTATCTGGAGTTGTTCAGCGAAGAAGAAGTCACCAGACCTTTAAAAACGTTAACAATTATGAAAAGTGGGCGTCCGTCATATATCGCACATAAAGTACCTCTTCCTATTTTGTCTTCTACTGCATACAAGTGTTTACATTTGTTTTATTGCAGTTTTAATAGTATGTGTTAATCTGAATCATCAAGATAAATTATATCAAATAAGAAATAACATCGTGTGCACTGGATTGTATTAAATGTTTGAGTAATGTCGTCAGTGCGCATTTATTAGTGAACCAATGAACACAAGTGTGAATTAAATTCTTGTCCTCGTTTCAGGATGACGAGCTCCGCGCTGTGTTCCGTGTGTTACCTGGTACTGTTGGCGATAGCACTAGCAGTAAATGGACAATCGCCCCCTTTCTCTTCCAGTGGAGATGAAAAACCACTGGTAAGATTGGTGCAACATCCTTTCAGCTTTGCGAGATGGATCAATGTATATACCAGAACCAACGTTCAAAAATCCTGGTACTTACACTATAATTCCTGGTACAAATGACAATTGATTAAAATTCTTAAATTGTACATATTATAACTCTATTGTGTTTTAACGCGCCAGGAAGTTCTTTAAATTTAACTCGACGTCAATCGTCTCCGATATTATTTCAGTAGTATATATACCTTTTGCGGGTCTCACTCGCAACCAATCTTTAGAAATGAGGTCTCTAAAGAAAGATAATTTCACATAGATGTGACTAATTTGCAATTTTCGCACCACAGCAAGCTGGCGCTCTGCCCCTCCAAAACCGCTCTGTTCCTCGTAAAAAATCCAGGAAAGTTAATAATTGTTGCAAAGAGTAGGGTTGTTACTAGCCCGATTTTCTATTTTCGCATGAAAAACATTACTTATCTTTCTCAAGAGTAAAAAAAATCTAATATTTTGTGACTATCAAGGAAAGAGAAAAGCTGTTAAGGAAGATTGAATAATTACTTGAAATGTTTTTAAGGAAGTGTGAATTGTTTGAATAACATATCGATATAATACGAATAAATCTTTATTGAAACTTAGATTCCAAACCAAATTGCATTGTTTTTATTTTTGTTTGATATTCTGCAAGTACGAAGTGAACATTAATACATTTTTCCCAACAAGATAAACACGTTTTCATTAGCAAATTTCCTTCTTAAGGAAAAGGATACGGAAATGAACAGGAAAAGAGTAGGATTAACATGCGAGAGTTCTAGCATGGCAATGTTTTCACCAACATCGTAGGTATTTGTAATATTGTTGTTGTTGTTAGTTTTAAATTATTAAATTAAAAATTGTTATACGAATCTTAAATCGTAAATCGCAAATTATCGTAGATTTAAAATTCTGGTATTAAAACATATCAGGATGACTTCAACGTGGTACAAATCCTGGTCAAAAATACCAGGAACGTGGTACATCCGGCAACACTGCATACAGTATTGCATTATCCATACCTTATTAGTGTCCTACTTAAAACCGGCCTCTATATTGTCCATGGTATAAAGTGATTTCACAGAAGTGAATAGCTGGTGGTTGGGTAAGAACTCGATGTACTGGAGGAGCTCATCTAATGTGCAGAGGATCAGATACAAGACTCACTCGTGAAATGAAACTCAGGTTAAAGTCAGAAAAGAATTACGGTTGCTTCAATGCATTCACGAATGTGCTCTTTAAGATTTAAATCTAAAAAAGCTTAATCTTTAAGACTTCCTTGCGTTCCCAATAATAGTGAGATAAACTGTAAAAAAAATGTTAAGCACATTACTGTATCTGTTTTTCATCCTCTTCAGT